AGGCAGCCAGCACAGAGGGCAGATGGAGGTCTGAACTGTGGGACTTGGTGCTGACATACAGCACCAAGGAAGCCTTTGCTTCCTGCATGAAAGCTTCTGCCTTGGTGAAGCTTTCCCTGTTCCCTGGAGATGCTCTCGACTGTAAATGCAGCTCTGGGTATTTCCTGTAGTTCTTAATCTTGATAATTATTTCAATCAGGCTATCGATTTATAACTTCCTGACTAACGAAATGCTGCCTCTTACCACGTTCTCTTTTGGTACGCAAAGGTGCCTCTGAATGGCAAGCCCCATGCTGGGAAGACCAAGCAACTTTCACACCTGGCTCATCACCAAGTGGATGCGATGCCACGCTATGAGTGTGACTTCTCCTTGCCAGGTTTCTGGGTAACACTGAAGGAGGCACCCATAGGTGCAGAAATTCGGCCTTCACATGTGTGAGTGGGTAAGGATTGAAGCTTGTTGCTAGGTCCTGATGAGGTCTAGCTGAGATAAGGAGCAATCCAAGTGCATCTAGCTGGATTTGTGTGGATGGTTAGGCATCACCTGGAAGGTCTTTTTCAGCCCATGTGGTTCTATGGCCTGGGAGAGCCTGGTCCAGTTAACTGCTCCATGCAGATCTGCCTTCCCTGCGTCTTTTTATTCATTTGAAATTGATTTGCTACTCATTTTAGTCATAGGCTTGTATCCACTACATGCATGGTCCCTGTGATTTGGGGCACCTTATTCACCAGCTCTCCTCAGCCTTCCCCTCTCCAGGCTGAACGATCCTGGCCTTCCCACCTCCCCCTGGGAGGTCATTTGGCACGGGGACGCGGCTCAGTGGTGGAACTCAGTAGGTCAGGCTGACAGTTGGACTTGGTGATCTTGGAGGTCTTTTCCAACCTAGATGATTCCACGATAGTATGAGTTTTGTTGTTCTCTCTGCTTCTCCAAAACCATCATGCTTCTCTTGGGGATCACGATTACACACTGCATTGGACATGCTTGAGAAAAGCACCAAGGGAAGACACCTTGGCTTGGGTTTTTTTGGCTGCTACCTTGAACACAATTTGCTGAGGTCTTGGTGGAATTGCTTGGTGGCATTTGGTGATGCTGGGAGAGCTATGCTAAACTGGATGGGCTCCTCGCCCACAGGGGCACTGCTGATGCTGTCCCAGTGCCAGGCTCTGGAGAGCCACACTCTTTCCATCCCCAAAAGGGACCATTAAGCGCTCCCTACCTTTTGCTCCCTGCCTTTTAACCACCAAAAAGGGCTGCAGGAAGGCCCAGTGGGAGAATCCAAATGTTTCTTTCCCCTCAATGTTAAGACTGCCAAGCCCAGTTGTTAGTAGAGATAGCTCTTCCAATGCAAAGCGGTGAGAACAGCTTGGCTTATCTTGGCTCGCTTGATGCATCCAACACAGAGACCTTGATCTTCAAACCTGCAGTTAATCCATGCTCTAAATGAGCTTTTTTTCCCCCAATGTAGTGCTCTCTCCAGACCTTCAGACTGAGAATGAAGAAATAAGGCAATGAGAAACCCTCAGCTTTCAGCAGGGCACTCATAGAATCGTTAAGATAGGAAAAGACCACTATGATCATCTAGTCTAACCATCAACCCATCCCCTCCATGCCCTCCAATCCGCATTGAACTTGCACAAAGCAGTCAGTGATTCCATAATTTCTTTTTTGGGATAAAACAAGCTAAATATTCTTCAGCATATCTATATGTGGAGGGGACTCTGCCCCTTCCTCCTACAAGCAATTTTTGCCTTAGTATTTAGCTCTTCTCATCGTTCAAGGACTTTAATTAAACTTCCTCACGTTGGCATCACTGCATATAAAAAGCAAACCTAATTATTGCAGAATTCGAGGGAAACAGAATCTGGAATCCACTAAAAGCTCCTCTGAGAGGTGAATCTTGGATTCAACAGCTCCTTGCTGGGGGAGAAATTATGGGGTATGGGAGGAACGTGGGAAATAGGAACTTGCGAGGACAGACAACGGCTTCTGGCAGGTTGAGACAGCTCCAAGGCGGCGTGCTGGAGCAGCCTGTGTTCCCTTCACTCCCCACAAAGAGCAAAAGCTGTTTTTGGTGGGATTTTGTCCTTTAGGGAGGGAAGGACACAGGAGGCCAAGCAATGGCGGTGCTTGGGGCTGCGTGCTGACCATCCTCTATGCCACCTCAACCTGCCCGCGTCCCTCACCCGTGAACCTCATCCGACACCCGAAACTGCTCAAATAACCCTTCATAAAAAAACAATTCTTCCTTCCCTCGATTAGAGGCAAGGGGAAAAAAAAAAACAAAAGAGAGAAGAATTGGGGTCAAGGCGAAGCAGCGGCCGTATTTCTGCCGTCCTTTGGGAGCCGGTCTGCACTCACTCTGTGGGTGTTCTCATTGCACACGCTGAACACAAGACGCTTTCCCTTAGTAGGACAGGCTCTGTGCCGCGGCCCTTCTCGCCCAGCCATAAAAGGGCAGCGATTTCGGTGCGACCCCAAGCCCTCCCGGCCTGGTCGGCTGCATCCCTGCGCTGCTGCTTCCAACCTCCTCGCCTTTGGCTCGCTCTTCTTTCACGCCTTTTGTTTTGTCTCTCTCCTCCTCTCTGGAGGCTGCAGGGATTGAGGCCAGAGAGCCTCCAGGAATGTTTCTTGCTTTCCCTCTTTTTTTTTTTTCTCTCTCTCTTTCTCTCTCTCAGTCTCTTGGCCTGATGTGATCCCTGCTTTTCCATACTCCCTGTGCCTGCCCAGAAAATCAGCTGCGGGGTGAAAACCGGTTGCTGGACCAGCAGTACATCCCCAAAGGGTTGGCTGTGCCCCTCCATCCTGTGCCCCTCATCCTGCAGGTGAAGCCCTGTCTGTCTGCGGGGCTCTTCCACCTCCTGCTCCGCTCCATTCTGCGGAATGGTTGGGTGCTGCCATCCCAGAAGGACGCAGAGCTGTTATGGAGCATCCAAAGGAAGGCTGCAGAGGCAGGGAAAGGTCTGCAGGGCAATGGGTGTGAGGAGAGATGAGCGCCCTGGGTTTGTTGGGCCCAGAGCAGAGGAGGATGGGGGAGGTTTGCAGCCCCTCATGGCCATACAGCCCCTCATGGCCCTACAGAGACCCTCATGGCCCTACAGCCCCTCATGGCCCTACAGCCCCTCATGGCCTTGCAGAGACCCTCATGGCCCTACATACTCTCATGGCCTTGCAGACTCTCATGGCCATACAGCCCCTCATGGCCCTGCAGCCCCTCATGGCCCTGCAGCCCTTCATGGCCCTACAGAGACCCTCATGGCCCTACAGCCCCTCATGGCCCTACAGACCCTCATGGCCCTACAGAGACCCTCATGGCCCTGCATACTCTCGTGGCCCTACAGCCCCTCATGGCCCTGCAGCCCCTCATGGCCCTACAGAGACCCTCATGGCCCTGCAGACTCTCATGGCCCTGTAGCCCCTCATGGCCACACAGCCCCTCATGGCCATACAGCCCCTCATGGCCATACAGCCCCTCATGGCCATACAGCCCCTAATGGTCATACAGCACCTCATGGCCCTGCAACCCCCCATGGCCCTACAGCCTCTCATGGCCCTAAAGAGACCCTCATGGCCCTACAGTCCCTCATGGCCCTACAGCCCCTCATGGCCCTACAGCCCCTTATGGCCCTACAGCCCCTCATGGCCCTACAGCCTCTCATGGCCCTACAGCCTCTCATGGCCATACAGCTCCTCATGGCCCT